TATATATATATATATATATATAAATATATATGTAATAATAATAATATTATTAAACGGTAAAAATAATTATTTATATATTTTATTGTAAAAATACATTTCATAAAATAGATGTAATAGTACATTAAGCTTTTAAAGCATCATCTGTATTCATCAAAATACAACTTAAAAATAAGTGTCACTCAATAGAAACTGGAAATGGTGTCAGAAATTAAACAGATTGGGGCAAAAATGGCACCAAAAGTGACAAAAATGTCAGTGAAATTCAAAATAAAAGACTAAAATTGCCCTTTAAGGAATTACTGTATGGTATTTGTAACATTTATTGAAATTAATTATTCTGATAATTCAAATCAAGAATGAGGAATGAGAATTTAATTGATTCAGTTTAACTATTTTACATAAAAGGGTCACACCCTGTGTTTTTAATATGGTTAGAAAAAATATTTAAAAAAATAATGAAATAATGAAAAAAAAATATTTTTAAAAATTAAATAAAGAATATTTTATTTATTTTTATTTTATCTGCAGATAGAAAACAAAATAATAAAACAAGTATTTCACTGATACATTAGGCCAGGGGTGTCAACTGGAGGGCCACAGTCCTGCAGAGTTTTAGCTCCAACCCTAATGAAACACACCTGATCCAGCTAATTACGTCTTTCAGGCTTTTTTGAAAACTACATGGTTTGTGTGTTGGAGCAGGTTTGAACAAAACTCTGCAGGGCTTCAGCCCTCCAGGAACTGAGTTTGACACCCCTGAATTAGGCCATGTTATGCATTTAATGTTTTGCAGAAAGCATATGCCCATTCATGTTTTTCCTCACAAGATCAGATTGAATTATCAGTCGATTCACATTTAGGATTAATTTAGCACCTCAGAGGCTTGTCAATCAAGTAAATAGAGAAAAATAAATATGGTTATTTCTAATCACTGCGCTCTTTGTTTCTGTTTCACTTGGTTAAGCTGGAGAAGTTGATCAAAACGGGCGCTGACATCCTCATGCCTGTCGTGGTGGGCGAGGGCCGCAGGTGCGCTGTGGGAACAGTCGTGGATTATGCGCACTGCGCATTCCAGCAGGTGCAGCTTTTCATCACCAGTTCATCCCGTATTCCAGATCTTCTGAAATCTCATTTATCACCTCAACCAATTATGCTCCACTCACTAGACTGGTTCCACTTTCCCACCAGAACCAGCGCATGGCCCACACCCCGTACCATGCCCTCAACAAGCATGAGAGACAAGCCTATAACGCCCGCCGGCAGTTGCTAGGCCTCATGGGAGATCTGCTGAGACGGGCGGCGATGAGAATGGAGAAGGAACGGAGCCAAGATGTACTCGGTGAGACTGGCCGATCGTTTCTATAAATGCGCAGTGCTTTATGGATTTTGTCTCACTGCCATCAGGGTTTCTGCAAACGTTCGAAGGAGTTTGTGTCTTATCGACTGAAATCACAGGGTGCTAATTTGTGTGTTTGTCTGTTGTTTGAGGTATCAGTCCCACAGAGAAGTTTGTATCTACCAGATCAGTATTATTAATATTATTGTTACTATTAGTAGTAGTATTTATAATAATTAGATATATTAAAGGAGTCATATGATGCGATTTCAATTTTTCCTTTCTCTTTCGGCCAATCACAACGCACTGGATAGCTGGCCAATCACAGCACACCTCGCTTTTCAGACCGATGAGCTTTGTAAAAATCGACGTGTTTCAAAAAGGCGGGGCATAGAGGAGAAACAATAATCTACAGTATGTGGAAAATAATGTTTTTTTTTTTTCTTTAAACCGTATAAACACATTTCATTACACCAAATACACCAAATAATATTCTTTTTAGCAGCATCATATGACCCCTTTAAGTATAAAATTAAAAATTATATTAGAAACATCAACCTAAATTATTTATGAATTGATTTTATAGGTAATTTTTTTAAATAAATGTATCATAAATATACTTATTCTATTTATATAATAATTTAGATGGATTTTTCTAAATGTTTCTAAATGAATATACAATAAATAATTCTATATATTCTAAATAAAATATAGATGTATAATTAGTTCTGGGCAATGATTAATCACGATTAATCACACCCAAAATTAAAGTTTTTGTTTATATAATATGTGTGAATACTGTGTATATTTATTATGTATATATAAAGACACACACATACAGTATATATTTTGATATATATTATATTATGTATATATATGTTTATAATCTTATAATATATATTATATATACAGTACATATATTTATTATATAAACATAACATATTTTTTTAAATATATACATGCATGTGTATGTATTTATATATACATATTAAATAAACAGTATAATCACATATTATGTACACGCAAAAAAATTATTTTGGATGCGATTAATCATGATTAATCGTTGCCCAGCACTATGTATAATATAAGTGTAATAAGCATTCCTGTTGGTTGATTTAAAGGGTTAGTTCACCCAAAAATGAAAATTAGTCCATGTTTTACTCACCCTCAAAGCATCCTAGGTGTATATGACTTTTTTCTTTCAGACGAATCCAATCGGAGTTATATTAAAAATTGTCCTTGATCTTTCAAGCTTTACCATGGCATGGGCGGGTGTTTATGTTCAACAGTCTAAAAGTAGTCAAATAAAGCGCATCCAACCATACTAAAACGTGCCTCACATGGCTCTGGGGCGTGAATAAAGGCCTCCTGTAGCGTATCGATGCATTTTTGTAAAAAAATATCCATATTTAAAACGATATAAACAGTTTTGTGTAACTTCCGCTTACTCCCATTCTAACGCTTGGAGGAGCCAGGACAATATTTAATATAACTCCAATTGGATTCGTCTGAAAGAAGAAAGTCATAAAACATGGACAAATTATCATTGTTGGGTGAACTAACCCTTTAACAAGATGTTATAATAGTATGTCATTCAGAATAATTAATAATAAGTAAAAAAAAAAATCATTATTAAAAATGTATAATTTTTAATTAAGAATTACTATTTATTATTCTAAATATATTACTGAGCATGTGTCAATTTATTCTTTATATTGTAAATAATAAAAGTAATGTATATGCCTAATATGCATTCCTGTTGGTTGATTTAACAAAATGTTATAATAGTGTGTAATTTTGAATGATTAATAATAAATAATACCTGTCATAATCATATTCTAAATATATTAAGGAACACATATTAAAATTAATGTATTCTAAATAAAAATATTATAACAAAATGTTATAACAATATGCAATTATTATAAATAAATAATTTTACAATATATAAAAAAATATAATTGTAATAATAATAAATAGTAGTCATTAAAATATTAATTTTAGTTCTGTCATGAAACTATAGAGGGTGCAGTATCTGCAGAGGCTGACATAATGACATCATTATCACATGGAGCAGCTGATTGGTTCTTTTTGTATCCAATGAGCTCGGTAGCTGTAGCAGTTGCAGCGCGCTTCAGAAACCCTCCACCTCCCCCAGCTCCGCCTGTATAGATCTATACGGGATAATTCATGTAATATATATAATTCATATAATTCATTGCGTTAGCAGCGCAAAAGGTCGTGGGTTCAATTCCCAGGGAACACACATACTGGTAAAAAATGTATAGCCTGAATGCACTGTAAGTCACTTTGGATAAAAGCGTCTGCTAAATGCATAAATTATTAAATTATTATTATTAATTATTAAATTATATCATAATAAATAAATTTTAAAAGCTTAATTAAAACGATGAAATTCTTAGAAGGAAAAGGTCACACTTTATTTAAGTTCTAATTCTTACTATTAACAAACCATTAACTACGACTTTTACCTCAATAAACTCCTAATTTGCTGCTTATTAATAGTTAGTTAGGTAG